TGGGTTTCATCAAGATAGTTTGGCTCTTTGAGGACAAGGAATATGTCTGTCTTATGCACACTTGCATTCATGGGTCTAATCCAATGCCTGACACACAGTAGGTGCTTAATAAATATTTGTTGAATGGAATAAATTACTTGAGGATGTATTTCTCAACTAATTTACAGAAGAGTAGTTTGATAAGATGTTCTAGAGGAAAAGGAAGATTGTTTTGTTGGCCAAGTAATACTGAATTAAATCAATCGAATTAATGTTAGTTTCCCTCTGGAATATTGCTGGATCTAAGGCTCTGAGAATTCTTACAAGAGGGAAACCATTGAATATTATTTCCCAAGTTTATATGATAACAAAAAATCTTTCTAAAAGAATTACCAGATAAAATTCTGTAGATTGTGTTCTAGAGAACACACTTTGGGAAACACTGCTTTAAGGGATAAAAAAAAGACACTGGGCTAGGCTCAGAGATGCGAGTATTTATTTTTCTGTATTCACAAGGCTGAAGACAGTTTCTCTGATCTCTCCAGAAAGGAATAGAATATTTTTCTAACTATCTATTTACTCTCATGGACAACCATCTCTACCCTTCCACTTTCTACCACCAAATGGGAATTCTCAATTCCTTTTCATTGGCTCCAATCACCATGTAGCATTAAAATGTTCTCAAAAGCACAGCTGGTTTCATATTGGATCTGCTTCACAAAGAAGCCTCCAGGCAACTGGTTTCAACTCCAAATCAGTATTATCAACTGGGGTTACCTTGACTTTCTTTTTCATTTACATTTAATTATTAGTTAGCATCACTATTCTGAACTGAAATTGTTTATTTTACAAAAGCATACCTAGTGCCTTTCTTGAAATCTGTTACCCTCAACTGAGACATCAGGACATTCAGGCAGGTAGTATGTCTCACCATTATTTTGAGGTGTAATGTAAGTAATCTGTCAGCAACAATTGTTAAGTAGAAAAGTTAATAAGTGACACTCACACACACACACACACACACACACACACACGGTAGTGCCATTTTAATGTCATCGCTGTAATAACATCAGTTTTACTCAAATTCCAATATGATTTCCTAAATGTGAGTGGAAGCAGAGAAGCCACCAGTTCATCTTGAAATGTTATGTCTATAATATGTGTCCATGACTGACATTCCACTGAGAGTTAGAGAGATTCTTAATTTATTCCTGAGCAGGAAAAAAATGGAAGGAAGGAGGAAGGAAGGAAGGAGGGGGAAGGATGAAGGAAAAAAGACTGTCAAAATCTGGGAGGACCTCTGACTGTGTACTTCATCTGTATATTCCATATGCCATGTAGATGATGATAGAAAAAGTAAGTCCCACTAACTCTTTTATACATGCTTTCATTTAGGGGAAAATGTATTTTTTCCACATAGCTTTTTGAAGATTTCAACAAGTGCACAAAACAAAGTGAGCCTATGTTGTATTTAATGAAATTGTTTATAGTTTTGAGTATATATGGGGTGCTGGTGGCTCTGAACAGATTCCAGAGTATCACCAGTTCTACATGAAGAGAGTTGCATTAAATAAGCAATTCTATTTTAGCCAGAAAGCTATATAGAGCTGTTCTCTACGTAGAAAATACATATACATGTTGCATTCACATACACTTCAAAGGCTACACTTGCTTGGTTTCAAACAGCCCATGCTGAGGTCACAAAAGTGAAAGTTAACTACAGTGGGTCAAAGGTGAATGTTTAACAAACATTTAATAAATCACACCCAAAGTTTGGAATCTTTGTGGAACTGTGAAATGGACAAAGGATTCACGTCATCTCTAACTTTTGGCCCAGTATTCTTTCCATTCACTTTTTAAAAGTCCGTTTGGATAGCAGGCCAGAATTGAAGGAAACCTCCCTGCTTATGGCACTTGCAAGGTGTAGCTGAAAATTTCTAACAAAGCTCACAGCCTTGAGGAAAATTTCAAGTGGCTTATTGCTTTAGTTTTTTCTTATTTCCCCACTCATTATCAGACAAAATTGAAGGACAGATTCTGCCTTCTGCTCTGTAGACTGAATTCTATTCTCACTGGAGACCATAGCTGGTGACTTGAGTATTTTGCTACTCATTTATCTGTGTAGCTCTCTATTTAATGGACTCAAGATCTGCAAAGCACATTCTATGGAAGAAGTCTGTACATCAGCTGATGGGATGTGTGGGTGTGCACACATCAGACAAAGAGAAAAGTTACTCTGCATGCAATGAGCCAAATTATCCCAATTCTTTTGCAGAAGAGGTTTTTTTTTTTTTCTTTTTCCTTTGTTTTCACAGCTTGAATAATATTTAGCTGAGTTTTCAGGTTTTTGGTTTTCAGTAGGATCCAACAGGTGTGGGAAAGGGCCCCATGCCCATAACCAGGGCATCACTTACAAGATCTCTACTCCTCCTAATAAACATTTGTCTTACGGGTGAGGGTGGCTTGTCACTGGCCATGATTTCAGAGAAAGGCTTCATAAAGCCAGCCATGTTAAGACCAAAATAATGTCATTTAGTGTCCAGGGGGAGGTTGAAAAGAGGATTAGAGGCAGGCAGGCAGGCAGGGTATATTAAAGGAGTCCATGACTAACAGGGTGTGACAGAAAAGAGTTTTATTCTTTTCAACAAAACAATTCCCTAGGGCTGGGACCATTACTCCACTGTGCCTTTATCACCTTGGAATTTTTATGGTTATTTTTGATGAATTCACATTTTTGTAAAGGCTTTTTGAAATAATGCCAATTTTCAATTTTTAATTAAAGTCGTAAATAATCTTAATTCTGCTTTAAAAGGGTTATTGTTTCTTACTTTTTTAAATCATTGCTGCCAGGAAATATTCCAAATACCAAGCCCTGATGTGAGTTAGTAATTAGAATCTCTCTGAGGTCTAGTAACATTCTACCATGTAAATACTACACACCAATACAACGGCGCAAGGTTTGAAAATGTGGATTGACTGATTTCAGGTTTATTAGCACTGCTTTTCCTGGGAGTGACATTACCTCTTTTTATTGGATAGCGCAACTTTCATCATTTTAATTTCCATGAATTAGTCCATCAAAGATCCACATAGGATTTTTAAAATCTTCAGATTAAAAGGCCAGGTTAAAATTTGGAAAGTAAACACGGTAAACTTGTCACTAAGGACTAAGCAAATAAAGTCAGCCAAATTCAATTCAGTCACTTTCAGGAAAGAGTGAACAACAAAAGCTGAATCATTGGAGTGACAATACCTCATTTTACATAAGACAAAATTAAGAGAATATTGTAATATTTGACATTAGATTGTAATTCTGCCCCTTGAAAGAATATCCTTTTATCCAGATTGTCTATTAAAGGTTCTTAAAAACTGTTTATAAATTTATACTCTTAAGATCTGATTATCTTCTTTAAATTAGTGCTTCAAACATCTTTCACAGAATCATAACTACTCTTCCCTTACAAAGGAGCTGAAATACTCTGTGTCTGAGCAATATAAGCTATTAATAATTTCTAAAAATATCACATTATGTTTTCATACCTACTGTCAACCTAGGTTACTCTCTTGGGTTGAATATCATATTACTGCTTATCTGTCGGCGTGTGAGACTTACATTCTGTCAAGTCCACAGTTGTTATTCTCTATGAAGGTGCTCTTCAATCTCATTAATAATTTTAACAACTGACTTATAAGAGTGGGCTTGTATGCCATTAAGAATATCTATTTTAAAAAAGAACTTTTATCAAATTTTTCTAACTGGACATTTTTTTAACTCATAGTGGAGAGGTCAAATTATTTCCATATATGAGCCCTCAACTGGCATTGTGCTAACACATCCTAAGGAAGAAAAAGCTCAAGTAACAAAAAGGTTATGGAGCATATCCCAAAATAAAAGCACTAGATCCCTATAAATCATAAAAGAATGAAATATTCTGGCTAGCTAGAAGCCACAGTGACCTGAAAACCATGCCATAGGGTTTAATAAAACCATAGGAGATCACAGGCATCACTGACTCAATGGACATGAGTCTGAGCAAACTCCAGGAGACAGTGAAGGACAGGGAAGCCCGGTTGAGCTTCATGGGATCACAGAGAGTAAGACATGACTTAGCAACTGAACAACAACAGTGTTCAGTCACTTGAAATAAGTTTAGTCTTAAACTTCCCTTAAATTTGTTATGAAGGGCTCTTAAATGAATGAGGTACCCATCTAAACACAAGTGAAAAACCAAGGTCAGGTCAACATATTTTCTGCCATAATCGGAACATACTTTTTGGTCCAAAAATTTACAAAGTCTGGTATTAGAAAATGCCTTGAAAAGTAGTAAGCTCTTTGTTTCCCAAGATGTTAAGAACAGTATTGTCAACCACTTGCTGGGGATCTTATGAAGTCAGGAGGACAAGTCAGGTGGGTTGGCAGGTTGATCTTTAGCATTTCTTCCAAATCTGAGAGATACTACAGTTTCTAAGAACTCTGAGAGATGCACTAAGCCCTCAATGATGTCAAAAGTGATTTTAGGTTCAATTTCTTCCTCAGACTTTCATATATAGTACCTATTAAGAAACGTGTTTTTTCTAAGCTTAAAGGGAACAATGCTCTATACATACTCATCCTACCATCTTCGCCAGAGCTAATAAATTTTAGCCAATTGATATTTTATGTTTTTTATTGCTATTTATTAAGCACTTATCACCAGAAAGAATATTTGTTGTGTTGTTTTCCCAATTCAATTTTATTTAACTATTTGAACTTAATTTTGTTACTTTCCAGTTTTGGTGACTTTCACTAATTTCATCAACTTCTATTATACAAATCCTCTCCAGAAATTCATATCTGATTACATCAGTTATGAAAATCACAGCCTTGCTACTACTTCATTAAAGACTTCTCTACTCAGAGTCAAAAATATGTTACACTTTGAGAAGCATTAGGATTACCAATGTCCCACAGAAGCTCCCAGTACTGCAAGAGGAATTTAAATGTGCTTTTCCTGGCTGGATAAATTTTCATTTAAAATTACCTTTTTCCTTGCTTGCTGATCTTTGGAAGAATGTGCCTTCACATGCTTTCTTAAGGAACTTGGATCTGTGTAGCGTTTGGTGCATCCCGGAATTTGACAAGCATAAGGTTTCTAAATAAGAAAGAAAGAAAGAGCTGTGGTTAAATCATAAAGGTAACTGAGAAAGATTTACTCAAAGACTATTGACTTCAGAGCATGAACTGTTGCCAACTGATTGATGTGAATTGCTATGTGATACTCATGCATTTTAATTAGAAAGCCCAGTAAGTTTGCATCAAGGCAAAGAGAAGAATAAACTTTCAAGAAACAAAGAGATGGCTTATCTTTGAAGGTTTTTAAGAGACTGCTACAGAATGCCCTCTTGCCACGAAACCTCCTGTGGCATTTTTCAACATGAAAATTATTAGTATCTCCAGTCATACTTACAATTATGTTCCCCTGAAAACAATCTCTGGTACTGTCAGAAATTAGGAAACACATATTCTTTAAGAGTTCAGGTATAAAGAAGCTGTAGAAAAGTCCAGAAAAGACTGGTAATGTTTCAGAAGAAACCTGATTCAGAAAGAGAGAGGGAGAGAATTAAAAGGGAAAATTAGTGGAAAGTAAGTAGAAGACAGCAGGTTTCAAACAACAGACACATGAAAAATCAGCCAAAGAAACATTAATATTATTAGTTGCAGGGGAGTCCTGCTGTTAAGCCTGCATTAGGTGAATAAGTTCTTGGCTGAGCACGATGAGAAAGAAAACAAGTTCTGGCCACTCCAATCCTCCCATGCGCCTGAGAGATGTAAGGCGTGGAGCCCAAGACAGAATCTAGAATCTTTTTTATTTTTATGACCCTGGTGATTGGTACATGATAATTAGGAATGACTGGATGAGAGCATTACACATTGATTCAAATTTTAGCAACTATTCCTACTGTAACAACTAAATTCAAACCCAAGGTTTGAGAATGTGACTTTTACACTGTAGAATAAATAAAAACTTTCTTATCATAAGAACTGAAAAAAAAAAAAACCTACAAGATTAACTGCATTTATAAGATGTATTAACTGTCACTCATCTACTTAGTACCTCATCTGGTGAGATATTAAATTTGTGCCTGCATGAGGTGAAATGTGAGGAAGAGAACTGAAACTGTCTCTACAATAGAAATCTCACTTTAGAAACATGCTATTCTATCGACCAACCCCACTCCCCCCAAAATTCAGGTTGTTTTCCTTAGTATTTATATTTTGTTCCTGTTTTCATGCACTTGCTTGTCATTTTGTAGGTCAACATTTGTGTGAATTACATTACTTGCTTTCTAAAAACCATATATGTGTTTCACTTTTTTATTGCTATTGTTGCTAATTTTTATTCCAAGAACAAGATGAAGTCATGAATGTATCATTTAGTTTGACAGTCCTAATTTGAGTTCCAAGTTTGATTATCTGGTGTGTTTGTTCATTGACTGACTGACTGATTGAATGAATGAATCACCCAGCAGCTCTTTTGCTTCCATAATGTGCTAGACATTGTATCACATGTCAGGGATCTAACAATGAACAATGGATGAACCAGCCTCTCATAAGTCACAGTTTCTGCAAAAGGATGAGCCAATTACAGGCTGAAGTCATCTGCCAAGGAAGTTTCCATTGGGTAAACAAAGGTTTTCTTTAACCTGGGAATCTTTTCTGGGTTCACACAGCTTTTTTCCCCTAGTCTTCCCTTTCCTGCCTGGGGGGGAAATAAGCCAGCATCTTTACTGGCAGTCATAACATGCCACACATAAGTTCATATTTTGCATTAGAGATGCTGTAAATAAAAATTGGGGGGAATATTAACGCATTATATAAATTGATGCCATTATTATTACAATAGTCACCATTACTTGGGTTGGAAAGATAAGAAATGGTTAATGTCATTTTGGATTTGATTTTGAGATACTCTTGAAAAAGGCTTGAATACTGACCATTCCTCCCCATCTAGCTTTCACTCTCTCCCCTGGGATCAGTGTGCCAAAACAGCAATGCCAGGGACTGGTCTAAGTGGTACAAGTGTACTGGTCATTTTAACTCACATTACCTAAACTTTAAATGGCATGTTACACTTCATCAAACTATATTCTTCATTATTTTCCATTTATACTATAAAATCATTCCCTCTGTTTAGACATTAAGATGTTAATAGAGGAATGATTTAATAACACTTTCCAGGGTTAGAATTATGGACTCAGTCATCTTTATGGGCAAATCATTTTCCTAGAAGTAAAGAATCCATTTAATTGAGGTAAGATACTTTATCTAAAATTCTGATAGTATTGTTAACATAAGGAGTTATTAGCATAAGGAGTATTTAATGAAAGGGAATGTGGATCTAAATTTTAATAGTAAATTCTTTAAGCAACAAAAGGTAGTTTGGATTTCAGAGAAAAAAATCATGGTTTTAAAAGATTTAATGGAGAAATACTTAAAAAAAAAAACAGTTAAGTTTTAAAAGCTACTGCATTGAACTGAATCATGAAATTATTATCTTAGGTAGTTTTTCTCAAAAGTTTTCCAAAGGGATTTTTTAAATTCAAAATGACTTTAGAAAATGCTCTTGGTTTGATTAGCTAAAATTAGCTCCAAGCAAAGAAGGGTATTGTAGAACCATAACACTTAGCCTCACAATAGTTCTTTCAAACTCCAGATAACTAGCTAGAGTAGAAGCAATTTCTCAAGACAATCTTGTCTCATGAATGTTCATTCTTCCATGATAAAGTTTAATGACAAATTGTAAAATTTATAAGATTCTACCAAGACCATTTTAGACATACAAAATAGGGTATTTAACCATAATTCATTCTCTTTCCTATTTCTACTTTTAAAAAATACTGCTATTCACCAAATTTATTCATTTAATATTCCATTCTGTTGGTCCTAAATTCATTGAATTCAATTCAGCTAGATCAGAAAGGGTCCATCTTACAGCCACATTACTCTAATTATATTTCAGATGTTTACTAGGCTAACCATCACATTATGTATATTAGGATATAATTCTGTTTAGAAAGGTTATGTGACATATAGCTAAAATGACTGCTATCAATATGACTAATAGCGACTAATATAAAATTTAATAAATATGTCAGCTATAACATCAGAAGAATCTTAAATATGTATGAGAAGGTGTGTAGAAATAACAGTATCTTTTCAAAATTCAAATTCTGAAGTAGTTTAATAATAGACATCAGAATGTTAACACTGAAAAAATACTGTCATGAATACATTACTTGCAAGAATGTGGGATAAGAGATCTGTGATGTGTATAAGACATTTACCCTGATGGTTTTGTTAAGTGAACTAAAATTACATATAGTCCACCTAGCCTCATGTAAAAAAAATGGCACCAAAACCTGAGAAATGCAAAGGAGTACAATCAACATAATTGAGAAAACAAAAGACCGAGTCATGGAAAGGGCATTAGCAAGTGAACACAGTGTTTCAGCACTAAGAGAATTAAGGCATAATAATGAAAATAAATTGTTCTCATAGGTTGTATGTCAGTGGATATGTGGCTGTTAACACGTAGGAAGAGTGATGAAACAGGACCCTTGGGAAAGATTTGCTGATTCTTTTTAGATCACTTGAAGGTGAAAATACCAGGTGGTTTCTAAAGCAAAAGGCCAGATTCACTTTCAAAAAGCATGCCAGTCTCAACGTTTTTATGTCAAGAAAAAAAGAATCAAAATAAGAAAAAAAAGTGCTTCCTGTTTCTAGCAATAGAGTATCTTACCTATCTTAGTATATCTCGATATCTAAATATTTATTTTAAGGTCCAATCTCTAGCAGTCATTCTCTGTACCAAAATCTGCTATATAACAGCCCCCAAAGTGCCTCTGCTTTATATACGAACCATTTTGTCCCAGGCAGCTGTAATATTTAGGGTAACTTCTTACTATAGAAAAAGGAAAAGAAAGAACCAACAGGGCCCCTTCTGGCTCTTTACCAGGCTTCACTGCTGCCCTTGGCATTGTCCCTGTAACCTGCAGGTCATAAAGCAAACACCTTCACCACCCCACTATCAAATGGGCACTTCCTCCACCGGGCCTGAGGCTGGAAGTTGGAAAGCTCCTGCCACTCTTACAGTGTCCAGATGCGTCCTCTGGTGCTTGGCGCGGTCACTGGAGTTACTGAACGCCTTCTGACAGCCCGGATGCTGGCACAAATACGGCTTCTCGCCTGTGTGGCTCCGCAAATGAATCTTGAGGTTTTCAAGCCTCGAAAAGGCCTTCTTGCAACCTTCAAACTGCAAAAAGAAAATAATTTTGGGTTGCTGAGAAGGACCTTGAATGTTTGGGGTTGTGGGGGACAGGAAAAATAAATGTCCTTAGTTTGTTCTTAGCCTATAGCAAAAAAATAAAATAAGATGAAATCTAAATAGTAACAGTATTACTTCTAAAAATATCCATATGTTTGTGTGAACTGCATTTTTCTCCTGAATATACTTGCGACTTTCCATACCAGATTTGTGTCCCAAACTGATTTTTGTGATTACTTATGTCAGAGAAAATTTGCTGTGAGCCATCTGGCTTGGTTAATAAAAATACAGTAAAGCATGTCTTAAAGATTTGTTAAAAAATTAACACACTTTTCCATTTCCAAATTGGTCTAAATTGAAGGAATCGGGAAGGAAGAAACTTCTTGCAACTAATAAACTAACAACAGCAAAAGAATCAGAGCGATGTTTGAGGGAAAAAAGTAAACTGAAGACCCAAGAGTTAGAGATGAAAAGGACATGTGTCTGCTGACTCATTATGATAATAAGCTTTCTTAATTCTACCTTAAGTAGTTTTCAACTTCCAAGAGTGACCTTTTTAATATATAGGGTGATGCCAAGCCTAATGAGATAAAGTTTTTAACATGCTTTTAAAAAGGAACAAGAAGACAATCCATCTAGTACTAAATCATATTCCAAATAAAGTTATAGTTTTATTTATGTCTATTTTTAAAGAAACTTTTTTTATCTGGTTCTTGAAGAGAAGAATTATAAATAGAAAGTTGAAGATCTTAAGAACTGTTTCATTGGTTTGTCAGTAATACTTACTGATGGTAACATTTACTTATTGTCTTCTGTGTGCAAAATATCAGCTACTATTAGAGGGTCAAAGTGATTTCAATCCTTGAAGGGACAGTATAACAGAAAACATGTTAGAGAATGCCTACATATGAAGCATAAATGTGAGATGGGTGTTTATCCTTTAATTCTCTCTTTGGTGCTAAGCCCTGAAATATATATGCCCCTTCAGCAATTTTGATGCCATTAGAGTTCCCAGTGCAAGGAAAACTGCAATTTAAAAACTACAAGAACAAAACATAATATGTTTAATGCAATTAAGAAGCATTACATCTTAGAGAGGAATGTAGGGGTGGTAAGGGGAACAGAAGTAAAGAATGTTAAATTGAAAATGGTTTACATTAAAAATTAGCAGGTATAACTTAAACTTACTGCAAGAAATGTTATAAAATTCCTCAATTCTCTTACTTTTTATCAATAAAACAGATTAGAACATTATTCATTAAGGGGTGACCCAGAGTTGGGTCAGGTTTTGGTTATTTCAATTTTCACCTTTAAGTAGAGGATGAACAAAGGAGGAAGAATAATTAAACATGTCACAACACCATCTATTTAAATAAGTTGTCTAGATTTTGCATGCTAGAATATTTTAAGAAATTTATGAAAGTTGCACTTATTTTTGATTGAGAGTTATACATGTTTCACAGACATATGTTGGTTTATTTCAATTTTGATATTTTGCTTAAAATAATTCTAGTGTTTTCCTGATTTCTATTTCACATAAAAGTAAATTTAGCCTGAACAGAAGATGATTGCTGACAAAGCCAACTACTTTTCAACAGAATGAAAGGCATATAATGTTACATCGCTAGAGGGAGAGGAGTTAAATGTTTGTTTCTGCAGGTTTTCAAGTGGTTCTCATGTTTGAGAATCAAAGGGCTCAAAAGTAACCCCCTCATGGCTAAGAGACCCCTGCCAACCAAACCTCTGTTTTTAAGGTTCACTCTGAATGACAACTCAGTGTATACTTCTGTGTAACTCAGTTTGTCTTGGAATCACCTGATAGACCACACTTAGTTCTAAAATGAGCTTATGGGCTACAAGCCTGTAGCCCAGTTCCTAGGAAGGTTGTTTTGCAGGGTGGGCATCATTTTATAGGGGTGCATACCCAGATTCAAGTAGGCCCCAACATCCACTATCTTCTACAGTCACCCGAGATCTTGATCAGAGAAAAGCCTGCATTGTCTCAGCACCAACACTGGAGTGGAGAATCATTTTAGAATAGCTTAATGAGATTTCTGTGAGCACCAGAAAAATAAGACCCTTGGATCTACCACACAATGATTAGACGGGATCCCAAAGATGCCCCAGAACTATTTCCAACTGTTTACTTCATCAGATGTATACTAAATGTAGACTAGCATTCCCAAGGTCTCTCTAGTTAAATGTCCATGTAAATGTTCAAAGTCAGAAAATTGCTAGTATTATTGTTAACAGAAACAATGATCAAACCAAAGAGCTTGCTGCATTACAAGCAAATCAGTGAAAAATGAACTATATCTCATAACATCCTGACCATTTTTTAAAAAATAGCAGGATGGAGGAAAACATGAGCACCCAGATTGAAAGTGGCAACAAAAAGATTATCAGTAAAATCATGCAAATCCAGCTGATCTCAAATGTTTCCTCTGTAACAGTGAAGTCCAGAAGACAAAAGTTTTTGTGGTATGTGTACAGGCATTATACTACTTTCAGGAGAAAAGATTAAGGAGTGAAGTGATTTGATCCCACTGAGTTGAATGAATAAAGGCTAGAGCAAGGCAACCCCATGTACTGGGGGCTCATAAAAACATCACCCATTTGCTCTTATTGAAGAAATTCACTGAGAAGAACCCATGAACCCCACCCAAACCAATAAAATGAAGTGCTGAAGAACCGATAAATGGCTCCATGAGGGGCCTAACACCCAACCCATCACAAGAGTATGCAAAGAATAACATCTGATTGAACTTACCACACTAACAATTCTACAAGAAGAAAAAATAGGACCCGTTCATTTCTCTAAGGGTATCTGGATGAAACGTGAAAGCAAACAATTTTGTGGATTCAGTACCATTCATGATGGAAATAAACCTGTAATTCAAACAAGTATTTCCTCTCCCTCAGGCAATTTTACCCTAAGATTGTAAGTTCAATTAAATGCAAATACATTAAAAATAAACTAATATTTTGGTAGAACTATACAAGACTGTTACAAAATACACCTAAACTGGATGTTCTGGGTATCTGAGTAAATGGTTGCCTTGTTTTCTACTTACATTTTTTCAGGTTTTCAAAATCTTTAATGAGTCTTACCTTGTAAAGAAACATCTAAATGTAAAGGAAAGCAGGAACCCCAGGAGAATTTCCTTGAATTTGGCTACATAATTTCTCATCAAGATTCCTGAAGTGCAAAGTCTGTCCTGAGATCTAAGGTCCAAATTGTCACCTGATTGCTTGTGTCATTGCCATGAACCAACTCCTTCACAAAGACTGGCCAATATCTTAGTCACTGGATATCTCCTCCCTGGACTGGCTGTGGAGCCAGGAATCTAAGGCCCAGTGACACAGAGATGGATCATCAGGCCTGAGATTGCCTGTTCTTCAAACACAGGCCAAATACAGAAAGATTAGAGAAAAACAACAAACAAACTCTCAGAATCCAAGGGAGTAGCAGAAGGAGGGAAAGCAGAACAAAGAGAAGGACAAAGAAAACAAATGGTAATGTTTCAGGGAGTGGTGGTGGGAAAGGGTCTGGTACCCATGGGTAATTTTATCTAAATAGCATTCTTATTTTCCTCCCCGACAATCACTGAGTAAGCCCTGGGAGCAGGGCACTATGTGATAGACAGTGAGAGAAACAAAAGGATTAAGACTCACATTTCACTCAAGGGAATATGGAATCAAGATCATTACATGTGGCTGGGAAGGTCATATACTGATGAGGCATGAGCAATGACTCTCAAAGATACATTGTGTGGATCGGAAGCATTGTCACACCCTTGGGAGCCTGTGAGAAAGACAAATTCTCTAGCCCAACTCCAGACTTACAGAACAGAAACCGGGGGGGTGCAGGCCCAGACCTCTGAGTGTTAAGGAGCCCTCTAGGAGATTCTGATGCTATGGTGTGCCTGTGAGTTTGGAATGAAATTCACATTGTAATCACTGTTTATGTTCTCAAGACAATCTCCTGACAGAAGCAAAATGTCTTGCAGAATTCACTCGTTTCTAGTTGGGGCAAGAGTGATACGGGCTTGCAGCAGCCCTGGACTGAAAAGAAACATCTCCATCCCAGGATAAAGCAGGTTATCTCCATATGCACTGCAAATGAGACAATATTCCAGAATGCCAGTCTCATACTAGAGATTCTTTAAGCTCTTAACTATTTAATCTGTTGCCAAGCAGATTCTAGTTCTGAAATAGGCATGCCTAAAAATTCCCTCAGTGACCTCTTGACCAACAAAACATCCCATGTTTCTAGTGCCTATTACATTCTGCTGTTGAGAAAAAGCAGTGAAGGGGAGCCATTATTTTCCAATTGCACATTTCAGTGACTACAGACACATACAAGAACAATGCATGAAGTGACAGAACTTTAAATCTCACGGGTTTGAAAATACGGCACTGCATGAAGCCTTACTCTGAGAAAAATCTCTTTAACTCTGAGGCTGTTTTCAAGGAACAAGCCTTAATTAAGAAGTATAAGTTGCCTCAAATCCAGAGAAACAGCTTGCACCACTTTGTTAATTTAGGAGATTATTTCATATTTAAAGGATCACAACTGGACTGTAATCACCATCTATATATATTGGCTTGATTACAGATTGTTGACATTAAGTGGCATTAAGATGACCTTTGAAATATTACTTTCCCTTTCTATTAGAGGCTTTTGTGTAAGGTTTTGAAAATGAAAGACTCATTAGACACCATTAAAATAGGATTTATTCCATATGTGTAACCAGTAATCAAGTAGAATATTACTCCTTCCCCTAATCAGCAATTTATAGCGTTGAGAAGCACAAGTTCATATTCAAAGCGGTAATAATAGCAAACCTTTCCTGATCAGGTTTCTCTACCATCACTAGTGTCAACAAAACCAAAACAGAAAGGAGTCTATAATGCTGGACGTGCCTTTTAAAAATATACATTTGATTTCAATTAAGGCTCCGTGTTTACGACCCTTGGAGGTATAAGCTTTTACAATTTCATCAGTCAAGACCAATTATTCCTATTAGTGATGGCTGAGCTGTGATATGCTGTGCAGAGTTGGGGACTTACGATGAATTATATGCTCGTTTACATCTTCCATGTACAGCCCAAAGACAACAGAGATGAAAGCCATTGGTGGAAAGGTCAGAAAATATTTATCACGCTGTGGACATAGTCAAGGTGACTTCCACAATAAGCCCAAGAGTTCAAGTCTACTTGAATCATGGACATACCTGCAAAAGGTATAGGTAAAAGATGGCCTCTTCTGTGACTCTGAAAGAGGGGGACAAAGGCACAGCTGAGGGCCCAGAGCCACCTCACACTCATGACAAGAGGTGAGAAATCTGACTCTAGTGTTTAGCTGAGATTCAACAGCTTTCTTCCAGGACAGTGCTGGCCATCTTTATGTGCTCATGAGTCACTGGGCATGTTGTCAGTATTAAAATACAGATTTGATTCAGTAGATAGAGAGTAGGGCCTGAGATTCTGCATTTCTAACTACCTCCTATGTCATATTTTTAAATGTTGAGTGTTCAAAGATTCCAATTTGAAAAGTAAGGTTCTAGGGCTTATTAAAGTACTTTCAGGTTGAAAATGTACAGTTTAATGGGATTTAAATGGGATTTAAAGAAAAAAGAGACAAACAAGGAACTAGAGTAAGAATAAAAAGACTTGCTTTTGATGAACCAAACTATTGTCGCTTCATCCACAGAAGTGTGGAAGAGTGAAATCTAATTGTTAAACTTAGGTTGAGAAGAGAACAGAGAGTGTTGTCTAGGGGCAGACAAGCAGAAGAAAAGTCAAGAAGAAAAAAAAAAAAGCACAAGAAATCAAAACAGAAAGACTGCAGAAGCACACTGGAGCAATCTGATATTGCTTCTCCGTCAGTGTTATTCTCATTTGGACATATGGCTTGCCTCATGCCACCCTGTGGTTTCTGTTCCCAGTGCATCTTATTAGAACTGGATGCTCCAGCAAATCTTAATATTTACCACATCAGTTTGTCTAAAGTGTTACATAAAGGGAGAAGAAAAAAATTCAAATGTTTTGAGGCTTTAAAAAAGTATGTAGTTCATGAATTTATTATACTGAGTAATATGGAGCTCTTCCCTCTCCAAGCTTCATTCAGACTACTAATTCTGTAAAGAGGAAGGAGATGTCTCCGCAGGTTCTCACTTGAAAACATGAGTGATTTTACTCATGTTTTTAATCTAATCACCTTATTGTCCATAATGGAAGAAATGTACTCATAGAAAAGGAGTTTGTATGTTTCCTTTAGGTGGTTAAAAGTAATATCTGATTTTATAACATTTTGAAGGGTCTACCAAGAGGAACAGTGGCCTCATTGGAAAATTATTTAAAATTGTGGTAGGGTTACCCTAGTTAATTTGAGATTTCTCTTAACTTCAGGGAAATCAGTGTACCCCAAAGTGATTTTTCAAAGATTCCAAATATCTAAACAGATTGCACTGGCGTTCCCTAAGACAGCCTTTCTTCAAAGTTTCTTAGTCTTTTGGGAGGGGCAGTCAGAATGGCGAAGACACTCTGACACTTCGGCCTCAATGAGTCAACGACTTCAGTGCATGTCACTTACCTGGAATTCTGAAGTGGCCCACTGTACTCATTTATCCAGATTTTCTGGAACTATTAAAATTTTGTAGAATTAATATAAAACCCTTTCTGTAATGTTTTCCTAAACTGTAAAAAAGAGATTCCAGTTACTATGTTTTTCCTTGTTATTCTAGTGTACAAAATGAATCTATTAACTAGCTCATAAATACAACTTCCTGGCTTGTTGCGCTTTTTGGTTTTGATTAAGAAATCTGTATAAAACAAAGGTTACCAAAATGGGCAGTATGAATGTGCTTCTTATTGGTTTAAGAAAATTCTTTTTTTTTTTTTTTAAACATTTTGGGTCATGGGCAGCAGCTGACTTTTAAAAGGGCACTCTAAATGAGGTGGCAAAATAAATGAGGGTGTAACATAAAAATTGAAAATGGAAAAAATGTTTTTGAGAAGCCACATGACAATGTAGAGAGAAATATGTTACTTCTGTGCCAACATTTGAACCATATTAAATTTTTATGGAAATTATCACGTGTCTGGTTTATAAAAATTGAAAGGAGTTAGGGACAAATGGAACCTTATCCTGGGCATTACATTCACCACTGGCAAAAGAAGACTCCATACTGCAACACTGATATTTAAATATATCATATGGCTGTCTCCAGTTATTCAACAAATGTAAGGAATATCATATATTATTCATGCTGTGTCAATACAATGCCAGAAAACTACAATTTCAAGCAAATAATTATTCCATGAGTGGGTAAACAATAAAAAAAACTGGCTGTTTGGGGGTTGTTTAAACATAAGAATAAGTAAGTTGCCTGAATTTCATTGTTGTTTATTAGTGTTGATTTCATGCAATCTGCAAATACATATCCACTAGAGCATTTGTCCTTCAGAGGTTCACAGTCAGACCTCAATAAATGCACTTTGATTACATGCCAGAAGAGTAAATATATTTAAGGCTATATAACTGGCCCTGTATAAATATACCTAAAAGAAATCAAATTATTTCATTTTCCATGTATCTCTGTTTCTGACCACCATCTAGGCACACTTAATTCCATACACATGGATCTGCAAAAGCATAATACTTCTATGAAGTATATATAAAGTCTATATATAAAAGCAACTTTCATATATTTTGCTACTCTGTATTAAAGAAAACAGTTTTACAAAAAATTTTGAGCATCAGTTTATATACCAATAGACCCGGGAATATTGAGTTTCTTGTTCACTCAGCACTTTATAGGCTGTGCAGATGATACAAAAGAATCACCAGGCTCCATCCTGCCTTTCCTGCATTCATATTACATTCCAGGAGATAGTCATACACTCAGAACAAATTTTGAATCTGACCCAGCCTGCTCCAACACCCCCAAACTATTTTCTATAGACTAAAGGTGAGGAAATGTTGCAGAAATGTTGGAGAAATGGAGAATGTTGGAGAAATCATCTTTTGGATTTTAGGGGTTATTTTTTGCATTTTTAAAAAGTGTCAGAAATGTTCTCTAAAACTCTAGTTTCTCCAAAGGGTCTCTCAGATTTCAGATAGGGATAGATGAAGTAAAAGAGAAATAAGGAAACGAGAAGCAGAAAAACAAAAAAAGAGAGGAGAGAGAGAGAGGCTACAGGCCAAAGGAGGGCTTAACACGGACATGGTCAGGCCTGTCTCCTCCCACCTTTCCCGCCAGACTCCAGGCCAGTCCAGCTGCAGTCCCCTAATGAAGGATCATCGTTCCCTGTTGCCTCTGCTTGTTCTACTTTCTGTGCCTGGTGACATCCTACTGACCCTTTAGCTTGCTGTCACCTCCTCCGTGACACCTCCCTTTATGCCTGGTGTCACCAAGGCACAATGGACCACCACCTCCACCTCTCCCCACCCCCCACCACACACACACATCAAGACTTACCCACTGCCTGGCTAGTGCATGGAGGTACGCTAATTGGATTGTTTGTCTCCCCTACTGGGCTGTGAGCTTTATGAAGATAAGGTCCTGAGTCTTACTAATCTTTTTATTGGCATATACTTAGCATATACTCAAGTGACCACAGATTATTTGCTAAATAAATGCTAAAGGAAATGGAGAGAATGAATTCTTTGTAAAAAAAAAAATAGATAGATAGATAGATAGATAGATAGATTTCCTAGATTTCTTTCTGTAGGAAGCTCATTAAGGCCTTTTAATTAGGTAGAGCCAGTCACCATTCATGATGACATCAAATGGTCAACACTGCAAAAGCTATAAAATGCATTTAAGGATTTTGCTGGATTTTAATGTTCTATAGAATTACTGCAAAACATAATTATTTTAATATCTAATCATGTGGGAAAACAATACTAATAACAATATATGGTTGTATTTTTTTGTGGTTGCGATGTCTTAACTTACTTACTGATGTTTGGAGAGATCTGTAGCAATACTGGTGAAGGGAATGGGCTGTTTTCCTACCACACCCTTTTCCAAACTTAAGCTACACATACACAGAACCACTGGGAACACGTTATTAGGAATAATTCAAGGAACATAAATGTACTCCTTCTTCATACATAAATGAAAAGAAACTGTTTTAAATTGCCCTAAGTTAAGCTAACATACTCTCAAATATGCCAGGAAAGAGTCTCTCATCAGAGTGTCTCACGCAAAGAAAAAAGATCTTTGGGACCTTGCCCTGAATTGCCTGAGTCAAATATCCCCAAAGAGCAGGTCAGGCAGTTTCCCTTGCTATGCCTCTGCTCACCATCCGATAGTCAAGCTCTCTGAACAGGACGCAGCCATTACGACCCCGTATAACCCCAGGATATAACCATGCCAAACTCCAGAGCTTTCTGTATTCAGAGTGCAGGGGGCTGTAGCAAGGCCTTGGCTCTGCCTTTCCTGTTGGCAGTGGATTGGCTCCCCTGTAACTCTCTGACTGCAAAGAGGAGAAATGCCACTGCTTGCCTTCAGTTTTATTAAGAATTGGCATGCTTGGTTTAACAGAGCTAAGCAATATATTTATTTACTATGGTGTTTCCCAAAATGATTGCTAAATGCTGTCATCTCTTGACTGAGAAACTGTTTGCGGGTTGCAACAGAATGTATGCTAACATACATACAGCAACACAAACTTCCAAGACAAACTGTTTAAGTCAATTTGCTATCATATAGGCACATAGGTGCAAATATGTGCATATGCATTTGTGGGTATAGCCATGGGCACACACTAACACTTGCACACATATCCCACACAGATTCTGTAATAGATGTGTATATTTAAGATCTGTGTGCAGGGGGGTAGAGACAAGCATGAATTTGCCAAGAGAGAAGAGGAAATTCACACACGAAGAGAATAATTTACCATAAATTGGCCCATACTGAATTTACTCCAAAAAACAGAGTGCAAGATGCCAAATTTTTAATGGCTCTTACTATTCCAGATCTGGCCCTGACAAACTTTGGAAGAGATGCAAGTGGGCAGGAAAGATGGGATTAAAAAATTATATCTTAAGCCTTTTCACTTTCAAATGTAAAATTTCCACCACTGTGACAGGAGGAAAGAGTGTGGCAGGGATATTTTCCTGACACCACGCTTTTCTCAACAAAAAGTCACCGATTTTTCATTATGCATTGCTTAAATGAAAATTCTGTACTTGCTAAAAGTCATACGCATCTGGCTGCTTAAAAAAGAAGCAGATATGAAAATAATGGAACTCAAACCTTGCATTAGCCCTGGCAGCCATTACGAAGGTGTGAGCTCAGAGTGATACTTGGGGCAGCTTCACAGTCAGAGAACTGACAATCCTTTGTGACAACCCACAAGATTCAGCAAGACCACTCACTTGCTTCCAAAATGCATCACTTCCAGTATTCTTTCTTTCATAGCTAAACTTTTCTGTGTGGCTCTCCCATCACATGCCTGACTGCCAAGTGGCAGGTGCTCAGAAAATCTCCCAATCTTTCCATCAATACTTGCTCTTCTTCTTTGCTCTGATTTTAAACTACCTATCCCATCTCTGAGTCTTTCTCTGTTTGTTAAAGGAATCACTCTTCCTATATATATGCCCATGGTTCACTCATAGGCAAGAAAGTGTTGACAAATTCATTAACCAAGTCTGACCGTTTAGGTATTAAAACCCATAGAGTATTCAATCATTCTATGCATGCACAGAGTTTCTTCCCTGTAATTCTAAAGCAAATACCTTAGCTAAGAATTGTAATCTCAATCCCCTTGACTATTCTACTTAAGATGATTTCAACCCTCCTTTCCCCTCCGAACATGACTCCACTTATCAAAACAACAACAGGTCCACATAAAATCTTACCCCAAAGTGCAAAGTTCGCATTGTATGTGGATCACCTCAGATGTTTTAATTTGATGAGGATATTGGTCTGTTATATAAAGTGGTTGGCCTTTTCACTGAACTTAATTTACAACTGTTTATTCTTCAAAGAAATAAAAATTAGTAAAACATGTTGTTTCTGAGATATGTCTCTTGCTGTATTTTATCTCCTTAGTCATCTTACCAAGCCAACAATCCTGATGTGAAAAATACTTAGGGCAGAGTAAATTCCCAATAAAAGTTAACTGTTATTACCATCATCTTTCATGTATTCAAATTATCAAGTAGTATTATCCCCATTTTCCAAGTGAAAAACACCGAGACCTAGAGAAGTTTGGTGCTTTGCCACAGACACAGAGCTAGTAAGTAGTAGATGGATAACCAGAATCATGGCCTTCTGGCCCAATTATTTAACCATTTCCTCTATGCAACTCCAAGGAATGCTATTTTTCAATAGGTTAAGGAGATAAAGGAAAAAATATGTTCTGGAAGGAATCCAAGCACACTTTTTCTTTTGTTTCTTTATAAAATGAAAAATATTAGTAGCTTAAATTCATACAATACCATTGACTATCTAAAACTGTGCCAACCATTCTCACCAAAGTCTGAATGTAAAGGGAAGTCATTGATAAAGATGAAAAAGTATTGTGAGCCTTATATTCTTGGCATAATCTTTTTTTTTTAATAACTGTAATTCTCATGTTAAAAAAAAGTGGTATGCATCTGTAAATCACTCAGATGCTTATGCTGCTGAGAAACAAATGCAAAGTCAGAGTTAATGTGAAATAGTCAATGTGAGCATTCTGGAAGACTTCAAGGTTGCATATTCAGCCAAACAATAAAAATACTTTATGGCATGAACCTTCATTCATTTAATCAAATGAAGGGGCTCCTGAATTTACTACCAATTTACCAATGGTGACAAACTTGGTGCTTCTTAAATGCCTATGTGGTTAAGCCTTTCTACTAAGTAACTTAACTTATGAAGAAAAGAAAGATGTTTTAGAAGCTTCCATAATCTAATAGGTGCCTAGTATGTATTAGGTGCTCAATAATTTTTTATGAAGAAAAGAAAGATGTTTTAGAAGTTTCCATAATCTAATAGGTGCCTAGTATGTATTAGGTGCTCAATAATTTTTTTGAAAAATGGTTAGTAATTGAATATTTGTCTAAATATTCATTGTAGCATTCCTAATTTGAAGCAAAGTTCCTTCAGAAAAATAGTTCACTTTGCTATTTTCCTTTATTGGATACAAGGATGCAAACTGTATCACATCAGAAATACAGGGTTACCAACTGTTAAACTTGGCCTAGACCTCTCCTCTGAGTTCCAGGTCCTACTGGCTATTCAATATCTCTGTAGCTGGTCCACAGATACCTAAATGTAAATATTCCAACACTCAAAAATGACCTTTCCCCCCAAACAGAACTTCACTCTACACTCTATTTACCTAACAGTACAGCCCAGTATCTGGAAATAATCCTCGACATCCCTTTCTCACACACCTATCTCTAATATCTAGGTCCTCAGAAGCATCTCTCAAACACGCTTACCTCTCTCTATCAATGCTGGGCCTCGCCTTGTCCGAGTGGCCCTCCTTCCCCACTTGATCTTCAGTAATCAATGGGTCTCCCCCTTTACTCTCGCTCCCATCCACCATCTAGCCTCCATGGTGCTGTTAAACTAGAAATCTGATAACATCACTCCCCTGTGTCAAATTCTTCAAAGGTTTCTCCTTGTTTTTGGATAAAGACCCAAGCTTAACCATGAAGCTTACGAAGTCTTGCTTCAGCTGGCTCCTGCCTACCCTCCAGCCTCATCCTCACCTCACCCTCCTCCCCTTCGCTCCCTCAGTTTCAGCCACACTGGTCTTTCAGTTCTTGGAGATTGTACTTGCATATGCTATTTCCTTGGCCTGGAAAAAATGTTTCTTCCTCCTTTCCTGGTTAAGAATCTTTTCAAGATTAGTTTAAATATACCTTTTTCAGGAAAGCAGTCTCTGGGCCCCAAGCTTAGGCTTCGTCTCCCACATATATGCCCTTATAACATCCTCATGGACCATGAGCTCCTTTAGCACAGGGGCCAGAGTGGTCCTTCGTGATAGACTAGTGTGCATGGAAAACTTCTAATGCAGATTTGCAGAATAACGGACGAATGAGTTATTATATATTAAAATACAAGCTGTTTATATTAAAATGCTTTCTCTTCCTCCCTCCCTCCCTCCCTTCCTTCCTAAGACTATGTGGTTAGAGCTTAAAATCCATTCAGAATAGCTATATACTCACAGGAAGAGTGCTTGTTCTAACAATGGAGAATAATAAAAGATGAGTAGAAACTCAAAGAACAGATCCTCAGGTCTGGAGAAAAAAAATATTTGTGAAATTCTCTATAATTTCTAAGTGCTACATGAAATGCAAATGTTTTCTAGATTCCAACTGCACACACAGAAATATCTCAACTCATTTTGACAAAGTTATCCACCAGGGAGATGAATAAATAGCTTCACTAAATACATATGGTGCAATTATACTCGGCAATAAGTGACAATAGGTCTTACTTTATAGTAATCTAAAAATTCAAAGCCCAATTATTTCAGCTGCTCAGTAAATAATGCTGAAAAGACGTGGTGGTAAAGCAACTTAGAACAGACTGTATTAGTAAATGCTAATGATTGCTTTATGATCCACAGAGCCACTTTCTTTTTCTTCTGAAGGAAAGAAAGCTTTTTGTAAATTAAGGGGGAAAAAACAGACATCCATGAGCTACAGCCAAGAACAAAATGAAAGCAGGGAGTACTCCTTTTGATCTTTCAAGAGTAGTATTTAGTTAAAGAATGTATGCTGGACTACAGAAAAACACCACCAGAAACATGAGCATTTGGGACCTGAAAAATACAGTTGTTGGCAGCTGGCCTTTTAAAAATATATTTTTAAGGGAAAAAAAGGACTTGTCTCCATATCTCCAAATTTCAGGGCAAACTGACACTGACTTTAATGAAAGGGGTCAGTTTCAGACTTCTTTTTTGGAATGCAGAAACATTGCAAGTAATTGGTATAATTAACAGCTTAGATATGCAAATAAAATTCAAACTTGAAATGACTGAGATGGAAAAGCAACGTCAACAAGAAAAGACGAAGGGAAGAGAGGAGAGAGAAGCACGACAAAAACAACTGGCCTTTCTGGATGATATGAAGTCAGCTGAAGCCACAGTAAAGAGAGATGAAGTACTGCTGGTTTCTTTAAGACAAGCTCCACGAACGTGAGAGGGAAAGGAGGAAGCCGCTGAGCCACAGGTCTACCCAGACCACGGGAATCTGAACGACAATCAACACGGCAGAGCTGGAACTTCTGCCCCAGTAGAGCATTCTTGTTTTCATGCTCTCTGGACTTGTGGTGTTTATTATTTTTCTAATTTGAGCAAACCATGCAAACTTTTGGCACCTCAAAAAATAAAATCATATGGCCAATAAAAATGTTTATTCAAGGGGAAAAAAATTAGCTCAAAAGCAGCAGCTTCCTACTTTCTTAGCCACCTAACTACTGGGGATTGGTAACCTACTCTTTTGCTCTTCTGCCTCTCTGGGATTCATCCACTAGAGGCCCACTTGAATCAGATGCCTCCAAAGGGTAGCACCATTTGGGGAGATCCCATAGCACTCTCTGATCTTCTCGACATGACCAGGTTCACCCAATTTGTATTTTCTTTGCACACTGTATTTCTCCTTCATAATTATTTACTCATCTGCCATTAAATAAAAATTTCAGTAATCATCTCCACAGTTATTTCCTGAGCTCTATCTTGTCCATACCCCTGTTTCCAGAACCTCTAGTATAGTGCCTGGAATTTGCCAGGTGCTCAATGAATGAAAATGGAACAATCTGGGACTTATGGGTAATATTAGGTCAGATCATCCAAATGTCAAAGATCATCATTTATTCAGTGACCAAAGATCAGTTACCTAATTAATTATTGTATGGAAACAGTGCATAATACCCAAAGCAATTACCTACCAAGTGGTATTATAAGACAGCGCTACTCAGACTTTAATGCACTCACAAATCTCCTGAAGAGTTCATTATCAGGCTGACTCTGATTCAGCAGGTCTGGAATGGGATCTGAGAGTCTACATTTCTAAAAACAAACAAACAAACAAACAAACAAAAAAACTCCCAAGAGATGCTGATGGTCCTCAGGCCACATTTTGTGTAGTAAGTTCCTATGGGTAAAATTGCCAACTCAAACATAGGTTTTCCCTCACATGAATCTTATTTATTTTGCATTTTGAAAAATCACATTGTGATTATTATCCAGGTGGTTCTTGGTTTAGATATTCACAGATGTCTTCTTGGGAGGATGAAGGGTCACCATTTCTTGATTTCTTCTGGGACCTGGGGTCTGTATTACATATTCTCTGGTGAACTCTATCTTGCAAGAAAATTTAGCCAAGTCTTTATTATCCCAACAAGAGGTTTACTTTTGTCAAGAGAATCTGGCCAGGAAAGAAAGTGAGCTTGGATTTTCTATACGACACATTTTTATGACAAAATCTCTTGAGAATATTTGTATTTTGTTAGTTCTTTTAACAAATTAGTGCATATTGCAGCACTTCAGTGTTCATAAAACACAGAGGGTCCTCTTTATCTACTATGAGTTCTTTCCATTTCTGTAATCAATGTTACACAAAACTTTTTCCAGCAGTTTTCAAGCCATTATGGAAAGCCTGAAACAGGCTGATAGAAATTAATATTTTGATCTTCTACATCAACTTCCACATCTATTAATATTCAATGATTCTTTTTTTAAAGTGACAGAGTTTGGGTTGTTTCCTCAAACAATGACACGGTAATGTAGATGCTTTCTGTAGGTAATATCTGAAAGTCTGTCTGTTCAAATGGCTTGCTTCATACCATAGTACAAAGAGCTAATCTATATTTAATGATTTTTCTATGGATTAAAGGTAAAGAGTTTTAAATATCTCTTTGATAACAATTCTTTTGCTAGTACTTGATGTGGTTCTCTTAGAGGAGTAGCGCCAATGATAATTAAATTTGCTTATTATGTATATCCCTCCTCTCCCTACAACACACGCACATACACATAGCTTGCATTTGCTGAAAAAGTCAACATGTGGCTTTATGTCTGTAGTATAGCAATCAACATATCAAAATCCAAATTTAGAATCCCAATTCACAATACCAGTTTTTCCTTTTTTTCTCCTCTTTACTGAATAAATTAAATTCAGTCTTTGTTGGAAGGAAATGTAAAATGTGTTTCACACATACATTTAACACTAATCTGTTCTCCCTACTTTAATTATGCTTTGAATTTCTGTGGGATCTTATATCCCAGAGACTCAATTTACTTTTATAAATATTCATTGATTCTTTTCCTCCTGTTTCCATTCGTGCTGCTAAATAATACCCTCCATTTCTCATTTGGAGAAACTGAGGCACCAAGGAGGAATCTAAGGATTGAAACCAAGGTTAGTCACTTACAACTATAGAGATGAAAATGCAACTTAGAAGCCCCTCCTCTGATGAAGAGGCAACACTCCCACCAAAGTGTAGAAATAATGTGTACAATAATGTGTGAAGATTAAATCAGAGATTGCGATCTCATATTCGAGGCACAGCTATATTCCTTATTTCATCCTCTCCCTAATTCAAAGTGCAGTAACAGAATAGCTGCCCTGTGGTTAAAGAAAAATGATTACAGAAGAGAACAGTTGGAGAAAACAAGGCAAAAGTATGTGGATTTTAGTCCGTGGGAGTCCATCACAGTAACTAATGGGCCGAGAATGTTTCTATTTTTTCACCAAGTAATCCATATGCAAATTTCCTGCAGTATTCAATATGCACTTCCAAGTTCAGTAAATGTTTCCTATTCTTTTTTCCTTAGCTCTCTCAGATTTTTCCAATTAGGCCCTGTTTATTTAGAAAAAAAGAAAATGTCTAAAGAAAGGATTAAGCTCTGTATCTTATAGAGAAAGAATGAATATTAGAAATTCTTTCAGGATCTAGAGGATGCATTCTTTACTCATCCTCCCCGCTGGGATGGGTAATGAGAATAAAGTAAAAGGGGAAGGAGGCTGAGGCTTTTTACTTCATTTGGTTTGTTCAGCTGAAAATATGCTTTTGACTATCTGGAATTAAATCCAAAATTCATGACAATTCAGACAATGGTGTATATGGACTAAGACTGTGGGTAAAAATAAATAAATAAAAGAGAGATGTGAAAGCTCAGAAGGACCTACCTGGTGAGCAGAAGTTCTGCAAAAGCAAGAGAATTCACCATGTGGAGGGGACAAGAGGACAGACTGGAAAGAGAGAGCATGAATGGCTCAAGCTAGCAGTTGTCTCAAATGAAGCTGACCCAGGAAACAGAGCTGTAAATCAGAGAGATGTCTCAAAAACATGGCCTCTCAGAATAGCAGTGAGGGAAGACAGTGTGTGAAATTCAGCTCTTTCATCTCCAGTCACTACACCCACGAAGACATGTGGTGCTCTGCCTGTGTCTTTCAGGATTTAAACTGAAAGTGGACGGTCATTTTGGGTGAAAGAAAGGAAGGGAGGGAGGGAGACTAGGAAATTGAACCAAGGGTTTTCAACAAAAACCCTCTGCACTTGAGTTCCATGTAAGGCATTAGGACAGAGATATCA